ATTTAGGATTCCGACGATACAACTTCTACTTTCTACGAACTTTACACTACTCACAAACATCCACAATTAGTCGATTCTGAAACCAGTGAACACGGAGAAGACAGTGATGAAATCGTTCGGGCTGTCTTGTGGCGATGTCCCTGGGAATGGATCCCAATGAACCGCAGTTTGCGCAAGATTCACTTGGTGCCATTGATCAGTGTATGTAACTAACACAATGCCAGACGTTGTCTATTTACGGTAACTGCTTAGACCTTGGTCGATTGCGGTCTGAATGATGCCCACTGTGGGTATCTGAGTGGGTACCACAGCTCACACTCCGGCCTTGTCACAGGAGAGTTGAGGGTGTACATAGGCAAGTTGGGATCTTCCTCATATGTTTTAAATCAACTTTAGGACCAGGGAAATAGAGTACGTTGCTCATACCAACTGGCACTGCATCTCCGCGTACCTGATTATCGCCGACTCGTATACAGCAAGAAAATTGGGACACATAAATACTTTGTTTGATTAGGTCAGTCGCATCTACGTATACTCATAAGGCACAGCATCAACCAACATAGTTACAAGTGAACCGCTTTGGTTAAGGCGTCTCATAAACTCACTAATGATGTCATGTCGGATCAAATAGATCCCATCCTACCTCATGAGAACAGCTACAAAGATGCGCCTACTGCTTGGGGATTCACCTCAGACCTATTTTAAACGAGGCCGGTGGTTTGTGAAGCACTACACCTGGAAAAAAATGATTCGGTCTAAACTGAGGACTAAGTGACTTTTAACAGGACTAAGGGTGATTTGGTGTAAAATCCTATTAGCACAGTCGGTACGACGTGGAGAGACTGCGGCCTGCGCTTTTGACCTTCGCGCAATTGCTAAACCCTAACGTGCTGCGATGGCTGTCGTTTCAGAGATTGCTTTGACGTAAGGCAACGTGGCTCACTTTTCAACTGTTGCGTTTGTTGAGGCGTCTTGCTGTGTTTTTATGTTACAAGGCAGCGAAGAATGAAGCATTTGGGTACGAGTTCCGTTTAAATAAACTGATGAGATCGTCTTCCTCCGCCTGCCTCAGCTGCAGTTTACTAGGTGTTTTTGCTCGTCTGCAAAGGGTTCGAGAGCAGTTTCGTTGGTGGACTGCAGGATGATTGCTCCCGTAGTTGAGGATGTAGTCCGTAGCGTTGATATTCGATAGACTGTCAGTTTCAGTAGTCCGGCCCCAGTCCTTCGTATGAGAAAGACTAAAAATGGCCGTTGTCCGTTGTTCCCCTCCCTGGTGGATAGTAAGCCATGTTTTGCCTGTGAAGGAGTGTGGGCCGGCTCCATTGATGAAACGTGGTTCCCATCCACATGCTTCCCGGTCTTATTCCTTCTGTTTTACACTGGATATGGGGTGCGTGGATGGAGCTGTGAGTGGTGCAGTGCAAGCCCCGCATGGTCACTTTGTAGGCGCAGGCGTCCTGTGTCTGGCCAAAGTGACAGGCAAATCCGAAACCGGATGCCGCCAACCATATCCTCCAATTTGGAACGCTTGCGCGCCACTAAGGTGTCATCTACGTAACGTATCCAATGTTTCGTTGAGCGGTTGTAAGTGCCAATTGTTTCAGCGTCTGCATCACTGTCCTGACTACCAATCCAAAGATCGACAATCTCTTATTCGCTTTTAAATTTGACCGCTATAATTGAAATGTGTTGTCAGACAGATTTCGAGCAACACCGAGAAACCTACAATTCGAATACGGTCTTGGGATCGGACCGACCGAGCTCTACCACAAAGTGAACTGGGGTCTCAGTAAAATTGCATGTCACAAGCCACCCACACGGCAGGTACCCCAAATCCAACTTTGAATGACTTAATGGTGTGCCAAGTATTGTATAGTGATCAAAGCATCAGCCGTGAACCACTAGCCCCAGAATTCCATCCAAACTCAGGCTATTTCCAACGGAGGAGTCCAAAGGCGGTAAATATGTTGGTTTCAACTTTGTGACCGAGAACCGGTATGATCGTGTGTCTGATCCTCTGTTGTGCTCAAGTGCGGTTTTGCATGATCTTGGCGTTGATTCCAGGGCAAAGAGGACATCGATGGGATTGCAGTCTTTGGCAGCGAGTTGCATACCTCGGACAATGACTACTTTTTCCGCGTCCAGTAAACAACCTTGGGATAGGTTCGTAGTCCACATCTCGTCCACCTTAGTTTGTTTCTGTTGCGAGTTCGAAGTCATCTTCTCTTCAAGCTACCCTCAAGTGTCGTGTTTCATCTTAGGTGTTTTAATGGCTATCGCTTTTTCAAATTCCTCTATTAACTGTGATCCTAGCTCGGATAAGCAAATCCTCTATTGTTGATCAAGCTTCAATTGACATTTATGCTTCCGGTTGTGTTCATCATGAGCAACAGGTGTAACAATCATCGCCCATGTGTTCCGTTGTCATCCAAGTCAAAGTTGCTTGTTAGGAAAATGGCAGTGCAGACTAGGCGGCAAAATTTGCCTTCGAAAGCATTGGTGAAGGAAACAGAGCTGCTCGTTAGTGGAGATCTGCGGGCTGACAAATGTCTGTCCTCGGTGGACAGATTGCAGCGCATCGCTCCCAACTAGATTTGAAACAGTTGAGAATTCCCGTAGCTCAGGGTTTGGATGTGGACTGTGAGTTGCTCTTCGAGCTGAGTGACCGCTTTGTAGACATTTTGTTGCTAGACTAGGCAACATCATCAGTGCGGCTTCAGGGGCTTGGTTCACAGAGCCTCGCAAGCGATCGCGAAGCCTAAGTGCCCAATGATCGAGTTCTGCTTTGAGTGCCAGGCTTCGAGAAGCTCATGTGCTTACCAGGTGTTGGCCCTTCCGAGGATGTTGGTGTGCTCCGAGTCGAATTGACAGTCCTCGGTATCCATATGCACAGCATTCAATTCAATAGGAAGGAGGAAAACAACGGGTAGTGGCCATTTTTAAGCTTTCTCATATGAAGGGCTTCTGCTGGACGACTGAAACCGACAGTCTATCGAATATCAACGCTAAGGACCACATTCTCTACTACGGGAAGCAATCATCCGGCAGTCCACAAACGAAACTACTTGCGAACCGATAGCAAAGGAGCATAAACGCATTCTAGTAAACCGTAGCTGAGGCAGGCGGAGGAAGACCCTCTGTTCAGTTTGCTCAGGTGCTACTCGTCCCCGGAAGTCTTCATTCTACGTTACCTGGTACCACAAAAGCACAATAAAACACCTCAACAAATGCAACAGTTGAAAAGAGAGCCACGTTGCCTTATGTCAACGGAATCTGAAATGGCAGCGAGAGTTTGGTTACTTCCTGGAGTCAAAACTGCACACCAACCAACGGAGACAATTCACAGTAAACTCAGCAAGGGGGAAACAACTGATATGATCCATAGGCTCTGCTGTCGGAAGTGGCACATATGCTACGTGGGACAAAGTGGAAGAAAGCTCCGCACAACGCTACACGAATATAGCCTAGCCACGCATTGTCACGATCAGAACTTCCTGATGTCCGTAAGTATGGATGTTGAGAAGCACCAATTCGACTTGGATCACGCCAATATCCTCGGAAGGCCCAAAATCCGGTAAGCAGATAAGTTCACTGAAACCTGGTATTCGAGGCATAACTGCATCAATAAGCACTTGGACCTCGATGTCGCTTACCAGGCTCTGCGAACCAGGCCCCCGAAGTCGCACTGATGAAGTTTCTTAGTCTTGCAGTAAAATAACTACAAACCGATCACTCAACTCGGAGAACAACTGAAAATCCACATCCACACACCAAGCTACGGGTATCCTGTTATCTCACATCTTGAAGTTAGGTGAATAATCCCACAACTGCTGCAAAACGGATCAGCAGCTTGACAATGGAGAGACTCACTTGTCTTCTTGTGAGTCGAATGAGCGAAACAGACAGCTTGTAACATGATGGAAGATCTGTTTGTCACCTGTTCACATTTTGTGTGGTGTTTAGGAGTAGTCAAGCCTTCCGCGCCTGATCAACATAGTCTGTCGGTTTGTGGAACTGTGCGTCGTTGTGCGGTGCTCAGGAGAGAGTAATTCGGGTGTAAAGCGTACTAAGTTTGGATCTCGGCGCTTGGCGATCGACTAGAGGATACCGTTCCTGAGTTGATCGTGACACTTGGGTTGAGAAGGGTTGTCCCAACTATATATCAATGACCACGCTTGCGAGAAATAATCATGGATAACTCTCCTATGACTCTTTATGTGTTGACATTTAGAAGGAGGGGCCTTATTACAAAGGAGAATTACGCCGCAGCGAACTTCTAATAGAGTACATCCCAGGCACATCAATGCAGTTGAATGGAGTGTGACAGAGCGGTACACATTTACGCATACATTTCGCGTCTCCGAGGTTTAAACCGCCGCCACATGATTCGGATAATCTATCACCAGTATTAAATATAAATAAAAAGCTGAGGTAGTATATTTCCACTGGGTTCTACACACTTGTATGGTTCATTAACAGCTGAACCCCAGGAAAGCCTTGATGACCCTTCACAGCCGTGTGCGTGGTGAAGGACAGAATAGGTAAAGTAGCAGTGCAGCAACATAAATGCATGGATAGAAAATATAAAATAGATGCGTATGAGAACTTAAATGACTATACATCATCAGTCAAGACATCATGTGCGGCCCGGTTTCCCAGCTTTCTGTACCACTGAGTGTGATGTGGCAGAATGTGAGTGATGGGGTTCGGGCTAAGTAACAGCGCATTGAGGAAAGCGAAACCGTGGATTGACTTTTCGTATCCATGCTGATTGATTCTGACCTGTTTCTCAGTGGGTTATTCATCGAGTCCATTTAGCTCGGAAAGGCCTTAGCGTGGTTAGACGATGAGATGGTGAGACGGACGGAGCTGTTCCACCGGCACGATATATCAAACACGGTGAAGGATGCAAGACCAAAAAAGCAAGACGGGTCACCAGGAGCGACTGTTACAGACAACTAGCACTTAAGCAATCACATGTTTGCGAAAACTCAACTCACCAAAGAGTTTCAGCTCAAATTCAGATTGTTCATTAGATCCCGTTCCATGCTTCGCATCCACTCTGACGGCGTTTGCACAATAATCCCCTGCATCGCGCTCCTGAACGCATTCCAACTCCAAGTGGAAGATGCCTTCCCTTGGATGGTTATTGAAAATGCGGCATCCCGCTTGAGAAGTGAGATTTCTTCCATCGTGAGACCAGCCTACGGAAGCCGGTCCTGAAGATGCGTCTATAATACAGACAAATCTGACGCGCTCGCCCACAGAAGCAACTGCACATTTTGGATGTAACAGAATGAGGTTGGGGATGGGATCCAGAGTGTGTACATCAGTTCGTGTTGAGAGGTTCTTGCCAGACAGAGTTGTAGACGAACTAGGACTGTACATGGAGAAAAAGGTCGCATTCACAGCAGTTGAGAATTCTATAACTAAAAAATTTATAAACGTAAAAGCTACAAGCAGAGTAGGCTAGGAATGGTCAAGTCACGAACGAGCATCGGGTAATTGGACGGAATGTTCGATAGAGAACAGTGAAGCGATGAGCAACACTCACAAGTCTCCTAATGTAGTATGCAGGATGCCTAGTCAGTCGGTTCACAAGACTGCTGTAGTTAGAATGAATTTAACACGGTAGAATATACAGTAGGTCAAGAGCAATGTATTAAATATTGTTAAGGCGGACAATTATTGCTCAAAACACCGTAAAACAAATGTTAAGGAATAAAGTATAACAGAGGAACGCCATTACTTAAGATCTTGTTTACCGAACTATCAAACTATGATCATGTGGTTCCAAACAGAAGATCACAACGAAGTCACTTAATACGTAATGGAGAACTAGCATTTGTCTGGGTATACTGTCGCGGTAGGACAGATAGAATAGAACCAACAAAGGCAGCAAGAATATATGGTCCGTAACATTCAAGGCTATCAATCACAGCTCCCGTTAATCATTGAGAGGAACAAGTGTTAACATGAAAACAATTGAATCAACATTAATCAAAAAGCACCTAGCTGCAGCAAATTCTAAAAATCAGCCATCCCATTGTGATAACCGCACCCGCTCTGTGACAGTGGAGGCGAAGCGACAGAGATATATTGGGGAATAAATGTGCCTAGTTAAACGCAACTCACCGTCTCGATGAGCTGGAAGCTGCCAGCAAGAGCATGGCGCTCGCCACATCTGTGCCAAGGCAATTGCTCAACGTGACTTGATACACCCCAGTGTGCTCCAATCGGACGTGCGGAATCATAAAGGTGCAACGATCAGCGCAAATTGTTAGCTTGCAACCCTAGTGGAAAGCGGCAGTTAGTGAGTGGGTCAAAACAGAACAAAGCTATGTGTCATGTCACAGTTACCAAACATATAGACTGGGTGAAACGGCGTCGTTCAAATCAGGTACAACAAAAGTTAGTACAGTGGAGACATAAGATAAACCAGTGGTTATGCAGAGGTACTATCGGATGTTGAAAATGTGCCAATGCTCATCGTCCGTGCAATGAGCAAACTAGCCTCGCTGGTCTCAAGATCGTGTTGAACAGGCAACGATGAATAGGGGAACGGAATGGGACTGCACGCATCACAGGCCTAATGTCGGGTGTGGATGCGAAGAGGGATGACTGTCAAGCGAGTAAATAGCTCTTCACAGAAATGACGCTGCTGCAGGGACATTTATCCTCAACAAGTACTCAAATGTAGTAGAACAGCGCCAACAAATCGACCAGCAGGAGGCCACAATCGAGTTTACTACATGGCACTAAGGTACCTGATTTATATTTTCCACACCATAGCGTAACTTTCAAGGAAAAACCAGTATTTCTGCAAGAAGACGAGTTCAGTCAATTATGCGTGGTGGAGAAGTTAAAAAAAGGATAAACCTCACAAGGGATCTTTAGTACTCGTACATAAGTTAAACTGGCTCGACACCAGGACGACCTATAAGTAAAGCTAGTGTTCCCGCTTCTCTGTACTGTGCATACCGTATTTACCAAGGTCTTTGATTTCTGACTGGAAATGAAATTCTGTAGAAGATGAACTTATCTTTACCCAGAAGGTATCTCGTAATGTAAGATGCGTACAGGGTGAACCTCACGAAGTGCAGTGCAGTGTTATTAGGTTCCTGGGATAGAATGAGATGAGCTCCAGAGAACGTGCTACCATGAAGCGGAAACCGCCAAGGTTCTAAAATTGTATTGCCTACATGAAGTGTGATACACAAGCACAATGAGTTGACGTCCCCATAAAATAACACTCAACAAGTAAAAAGTCTTATATGATGCGTTTTCCAGTAAATAAACCCAGTCCAGTGTGGCACTTATTCGAGAGAGCTAACAGGTTGGTCATCTGATGAGCACACTCACAAGCATGCCATCAGAATGCCGAAAGAATAAGTGGGCACCTTGCACAGTTAGAGTTAGGTGGTCGTGTTCTAGTCCCACAGAGCTATCCATGGTCACATCATTCACTGATGCTGTGGTGTTGGTATATCGGAGCTACGGAAACAATTGGACGCGATGTGCCAGAAAATCCGGTAAACATCCCTCTTTATTCTGAAGTCTTGTAAGTGTGCATGCGTGACTGACTAAAAGAATTCTAGCAACGCCACCCTCACTCAATCCACGTGCTGATGTTATCCGATCATCGGTCGCTTCAAAAAGACCGAGATGATTCACAATGGTAAACAATTATTGATATGGGCGCTGCAGTGTCTCTGATTAGCCATCATCAGGTCGAAAAACTTAAATCGTGCACCATGATCGTGAGAGTTGTTGACGGTCAGTCAGAATGATTGATAGTATGGCAGAAGAGATTGTGGGACGGAAACTAAAATAAGGCTACGTCGAGTCACCAGGTAGGAAAGAGACCATACCGGGAGCAGAATTCCTGGACTTCAAAAAGGCTATCGTCGACATAGAACAAGGGAAGTTGTTGACTGATTACGGGTGTTTACCACTCAGTGGCCGTGGAGGAACAGTCCCTTTGCAGTCGGTTAGTGCCGAGTTACACCTGAGCCTGGATTCGTAGACACTCCTTAGCGAGTATCACCTTTTGTTTACGGATGATGGTAGCCCGAAGGATAACAATTCATCTAGAGACTGAGGTCCAGAGGGAAATACAGGAGATGCTGAAAGCGGGTGTGATCGCAGAGTCACACAGCCTATACCATTCTCCAATTGCTTTTGGTCAAGAGGGCTAATGGGAAGTACCGTTCGAAGGCTAAATGAAGTCTCTGTGACTCATTTCATTCTAATGCCATCAGTTGCTGACATTTTTGATAGAATGTAGCAGTCGAGGATATTCGCGGTTCTGGATCTGCGATTTGGATACCGGCAACTGATGATCAAAAGAGAAGACGCAGAAAAAACGGCGTTTATGGGCAGTGCGAAACAATACCGATTAAAAAGGATGCCTTTTAGATTGTCAGGAGCCCCGTTTACTTGCATAAGTTGTATGATGCACTGACTGAGTGGTTTGGAGAACGTGGTAGTATACGGGGATGATCCAGTGGTGTACAGCCGATCAGAAGCGGAGCATAGCAGTCAACTCGAAGCAATCGTTGATCGGATTCAACAGTCTGGACTCCGTATAAGTGGGCCAGAATCCCAGATGGTGAAGGCTTTTGTGACATTACAGGTCATAAGGTGGGGCAAGGTAAAGTGAAGCCCCTGGCTTGGCAATACAAGCCACCCCAGTCCAGATCTCAAAGCGCATTCTCTTAGAGCGATCATGGGCCGTGCTGCGCACTACGGTAAGTTCGTCAGAGAATTCAACAATTTAGCTTTAATCTTGCACGGGCTGTTGAAATAGGAAAATAAATCTGTTTGGACAGCCGAAGCTTAACGGACTTTTGATCGAATTAAGCAGGAAACGATAAAACGGGAGCTTACTCTGAAGTTGACCATAACTGAAGAGATGTTGATGGCGGCACCTGATGCATGCGACGCCGTGTGTCCGTGCAGTTTTGAAAAAAAGCTAAGGGACGATTCAGTACATCAGCAGAATTTTGACATCGGCGGAACGCAAATATTCAACCGTAGCAAAGGAAAGTCTCGCAATCGTACAGGCATTGGGCAAGTGGCGGCCGTACCTCGATGAGAGCCGTTCAGATAATGGAGACTGCTCACACTGTCCGAAGACAAGTGTCTGCTTCTCTCGAGCACCAGTTTCCGGCACTCGACGAGACGTTCTGCTTTTTAGTCGTTGTCTCAGATTGATCATCTCGCAATTAAGTTCAGATGGCGGGATTGTGTAAAAGGTTGCAAAACAATCTGGTCCATATTTCTTGGTTCAGATCCCGCTCCTATCTGCGCGAACATTTGCATGAGTTTCGGAGGGTCCCCGTAAACAAAGCACTGTAAGGTAGATACGAATAAGCTATCCACTCTCTCGGTTCAGCAGAGCTATCAATCTTCCGTGGCCGATGCACTCAGCTGCGATCCACTGCAAGAAATTGATGAACACTGGACGTTCAGATAACAGACCAAGATATCTTCCGGTCAGTCAGTCTATTGTCCTACTCAGCTCCGTCTGAGCCTCCACGGGCTCTTTGGATCTATTGGACGGCTGCAGCAATATCCCAGCGGAGTCTACTCATAAATGCGCCGTTTCGTTAGTCGGCAGGTCAGACAAAGAATACGCAGCAGCAGCATCAGAAATACATGTTAGCTGATGGTGAGAAATACACCATAGATAATATGCCGCAACAAAACCTACGCAGTGATCGCAAAGGCTGGTGGTCTCAACGGGCTTCGGAAATGTAGGCCGCTGTCTCTCTGACAATACTCACAAGCTCTTACAGCACATTCAATCCAGTGGACAAAGGAAGGCTGGTATCAGTGAGGCTATTTTCGAAGCGGAAGATTCGCTAATTCCAAATCTACAGAGACGCTTGGATCGATGGGCGGAACATTCTAATTTGCAGTTCTATTGGCCTACACCGTCCACTTGTATTTTTCCCTGAGTCGTCACACTTGATCCACCCAGCAAAGCGGACGTTTGTCTTGCGATTCGACACTTGGAACGATTCAAAGCTGCCGGCTCAGACGGACTTCCTCTGGAGCTGTTCAAATATGGAGCGTAATTAGTAGCAGCCACCTAACTTCCTTGTGCTCCAAAATCTGGCATGAAGAAAAGATGCCGGCTTCCTGGGGTGAATTACCGGGGGATTAGTTTCGTTTCGGTTGCCTCTAATACATTGGCATCGATTCCACTCCGTAGACTATTCCCGATTAGTGAGTCACGGGACCGGGAAGAACAAGCCGGCATGCATCCTGGCAGTTGGTGTGTGGATCCAATCTTCAGGCTCCGCCAATCCCTCGAACATGGACACTTCTACCAGAGGCCTACCATGGTTACGTTCTTAGACATCTGTGCTGTATTCGACTCCAAGATCGATTTGAGCTATGGCGTTGCTTTCTAACGGGGTCCCATAAACGTAGACTACCACGCTGCGTGCATTCTACCTCCAGTTCTCGGACACAGTGAGGGTGTATGGCAAGCTTTCGCCGTCCTTCCCTGTCAATAGCCGTGTACGACAGGGCTGCCTATATCCTCGTTTCTCTTCAATTTTGCGATTCAAGACGTCCTGTCGAGAGGTCTGGAAGATTACCAAGATTTTGCTCTGTATCTGCTACAGGGAAAGTGAGCGACAGACTTAGACAATGCCTTACTTACTTACTTACTTGGTGAGAGCCCACAGAACATACTAACCATTCTAGACCGATTAGCGATTGAGGCATGTAGGTACGGAATGTGCTTTGCCCCGTCAAAGTGTAAAGTGTTACTCCAGGATTGGACCTTGCCCGTTCACGTGCTCACTCTTGAAAGTACACAGCCTGAAAAAGTGTAAACTTGGTCTAAGTGGGCGGCTGCGTGTCTGCTGATGGTACAGCTGAGAAGGAAGTTTCATTCCGCATCGCCAAAGCTCGGTCGACGTTTGTCAACCTGAACTACTTATGGTATAGTCGGGATGTCTCCCACTTGCTTAAAGGTAGCGTTTGCCGCGCGACCGTTCGGGCGGTGTTGCTATATGGAAGCAAGTTACGGCCAGTACACCAAGACGACATGTGCCGCCTCTCGGCTTTCGACGATAGGTGCTTGATGATAATTGCTCGTGCGTGATAACAGCAACGTATCTTCAACGGTGAAGTCAGAAGTCGTGTCTTAGCGGTTGTGAGTATGCCCTAAACAAGCTGGTTTCGCTGCGTCAGTTAAGATGGCTCGGTCATGTCCTGTGTATCTCAGCTGAGCGTTGTCCTTATTGCGCGCTTTTCGCTCGGACAACACTTGGCT